TAACCATTCACTCAGTTTTCATTTTAAAGAAAATTGTAATTTATATTTTAGAGTGGCATTTAAAATTATTCCTTAATCTTCAGTAATGATTTGAAAATCCTATCCTTGTAAAAAGTACAATGCAAATAAATATGTTGATGATGCTGAAAGTGTTGTAAACAATATGTAACTAAATTGGGTGTTTAAGGAGGTTTAAAAATGTTAATGTAAATAAATTAGATTAGATATATATTTTTTTTCTGTGTTTCTTGTGCACCGACAGCATCTAAACAAAGGCACTCGAAAACGCCAGAGGGCCACGAACAAAGATAAAGGGGCAGCACAGCTAGCTCGGAGGTTTGTCAATGTGACAATGCAGCATCTCTGAACGAACCGCTGGCCTCGGATCCGGCTCTCCCCGACTCACCTATCCCGCCTAGTCCAGATATATATGTATCTGGAGAATCCGGATCCCAAGGGGACTCCCTGCAACGGCGGGACGCCGAACAATGGAAAGTTGCCATGGCAGAAAAATATGCGCGCCCATTACATTTTGTTGCCGTGCCTCATTTTTCTTGTTGCCCTTCTAGACAGGCTCTCTGTTGTGCCCGAATTGATGTTATATAAAAGGTGGCCAAACATTTGTTGGGACACGCGAAATCGGAAGAGGGGGAGGGGGACGTGAAGAGTGCGGCAACAATATGAATAGGTCGAAAGAGCTTGGTCCTGGCACGGCACAGCGAAATGTTATTAGGTGGCCCGTCGCCTTTGCATTTCCGGTGGCCCATCCCCGCCGTCATTAATCCTAATAGAAACAGAGATACGAAAAAATCTTCGAAATATATAAAAAAATTATTAAAAGCCTTATATAATTATTTATTTATTAAAGAATGTTTTTGTAGGGAATAAAATATCTATGAAATAGTAAGATATTTAAGCTAACATAAACGTTAAAAAAGTTATGTTATAACATCATATATTAATAATTTATATATATTAAATGGATATATACTTTAATCTTATTGAATCCTTATTTTATATAAATTTAAGCATTCTGAGTAGGTTTTTTCCTAGTGCATTCTTAGCCTCATTTCGTTGCAGCACCTCCTGATCTATTGTCCAGGTCGGGAGTACATTGTTCCAGTGTCCGTTTTGTTTTCCAGCCGTAGCCGTATCCGAAGCCGTAGTCCTTGCAATGGATTTAGCCATTTACGAGTACGTGGCCCGCGACGGATGCTCTTTGACTTGCGGCCAAGCCCTTTGTTGGCTCGAACCAAAGAGTTGCACTTCAGGCCGGGGGAGTGCAAATGGATATCCATTGTTCGGAGCATTTCGCATTAGGAACCGGCGAAGGGTTCAGAAGTGGGTGCTGCCGACAGGAAATTGCCGGGCTTTAAGAAAACCTTTAAAAAGAAAACCCTATTTGGGTGGCAACAGGATGTCTGGCATATAAATTGCCAGGCTGTCAACCAGCGCTAAATGCAAACACATCCGCCTCAAAGTGCTGCGAATATGTACTGTGTGCAACAACGTTTGCATGCAGAACAAAAAGCAAACAAACATTGCAGGTGACGAGCATTAAAACGATTCAACAGCTCCGTCTCAAAGCGAGAAAAATTATATTGCTTAACGCCTGCACCACCTTATGCCACCTCCTATGAGCCACCAGCCCCACCCACCCGTCCGTCCGTCCGTCCGTCCTCCACTCACTTCCAATCCCACGCCCAGTTCATCCACCGGATGAGGGCGTGGCAACAGCGGATGCAGCAGCGTTTAACCTCAGCCCCGATGAGAGAACTTCACTGAGGCAAAAATATCTGAGCTTACACATAATATTTAAACTAAAGGAAAACTACACAACTCTAAGAAAAATATATATATTTTGTTTCCAATTTTCATAAGTTAGTGCACCACAATTTTAACAATTTCTTGTTAATTGTTATAAATTCGTATAAGGCTTTTTGTTTTTAATCAAAGTTTAATATGAAGGTGTATCTTTTGTCTGAGAAAGTATTTTTAAAATAGCTAATTAAGCTACTTTTATGGGAATATTTTCCTCATGTTTTTCAACTCAGATTGAAATAGATACATTTTTCGCATAGTGCATTTGGGATCAGGGGTGATTTGCGCTCGGCTGCCTTTACAACACATGAAGGCATGACCATGTTGCCTTTGAATTGTTGCCTTCGCTATTGCTTTTGCTGTTTGTTGTGGCGTTCCGCACTTAAAGCCTTTCAGAGCTGAACAAAAACGGGGAAAAAGGTGAGAAATATATTGGGTAGAAAATAAAAAGGAACCAGCACTTGTGAGCTCAAGGTGCATGCTGAGCCAAGGACTCGCCGCCCAGGGAGTATCCATTGCATGGCCCAGCTGCATCCACCGGAAGTAGCCTCTTTTCGGGCATTTCAATGTAGAAGATTGATTGCCTTGGTCCCAAATTGTTTCCACTTTGCTGGAGATGAACCCAATGTACGTAAATGGATAATGGATAAGTTCAGTGAGCGAAGTAAGGAGCCTTTTATCACCTAATTGGAGGATGAGGAGAAGGAGAAGGCACAAGGAAATTTTAGCATCCTTCGGCTTACATTTTAAGAACGCCTCCAAAGACCTACCTTACTCAATGGAGAGCTTAGCAGGAGTCGGATTTAGTCTGACATCTTTGCAAAGCAAGAAGAAATCATTCATTAAGGATATATCTAAGACATTTTATTTAACATTTATTTGTTCGTTTTAAATTTAATAAATTGCTTTATAATTGAGTTATTAACAGGTTAAATCTGATTAAGTGTATATAATTGAATACTGCTGATTATTTATTGTATAAATTCCTTAAATTTTTTCGCTCAAGTGGATTATCAAAACAAATAAACAGCTATTTTAATCATGGCCACACATCACGGTGAAATAAATAAACAAGAGATCAACGTGCCCCAACAAGGACACGCATTTACAAAAAGCCCATTTAATCCAGAGTGACACAACTAAAGCGGCCTCCACATATTTAGTGTCAAATTTGCCGACAGCTATGTAGCAGTTATGACACCAGACACAGACACACACAGATGCCAAAGTAATCGCTTTGCGAGTGCGGAGGACGCAGGATGTGGCCTGTATCCTGTCAGCTGAAGCTGGCCCCGCCGGCAGATCCGCTGGAGAATCCCCCAAGTCAGACAGTTAGACGGCACAAAGGCGTGCAAAATAAAAACTCATTAAAAATGAACGAGCTAACACCCACACGCAGGTTATCCCGGGCACTCTAAGGACGACGCCATCGTCCAAGTGCTGAGCAAAGAAACGAATTGCTCGTGGCAAATCGTTCAACAAAAGACGCTGCTAAAATAAACAAATCATTTTAAATTCTCAATTAAATGCAAACAGCGCCGGCTACCCTCCGCCCATATGTGTCGGCTGAAAAGGTGTCAAGTTGCAAACATTAAAAGGAACTCTTCTATGTGACCCTCAGAGTCCACACTGCCGCCCCTCGATAGTCCTTCGCCCATAGCAGTGTCAAAACTACACAGAAAAAAAAAACATTTTTTTTAAACCAGATTACTTTTTAAAATTATGGGTTTTAGTAATACATTTTTATAGACTTTAATTGAGGAGCATTTTGTTTAGTAAGTCTAGATGAGATATTATCTTAGATTTAGCAAGAACTTTAATGTTTAATTTTAAGTTTACATTTTCTTTAATTAAATTTTTATTAAATCTTAATTTCGATGAAGCTGGAATTTTATTCAGAATTTAAGCACATTCCTCAGTGTACGATCCCACGCCTGTCGATTGTGTGTAATGGGTGTCATGATGATGTTTATTTAGTCGCTAAGCTAAGTGCCCGACTGTCTAAGGAAACGAGAAAATCCAGATGGGCGGGAAAGGATTCTGCTGGGCTTCGTTTTTTTATTATTCCTTTTTTTTGGGCCCCGGCTGTTGAACTCCTGCTTCTCGACCTCAAAACATGTTTATGTCTTCCTCATTGTAGTCGGTGCGCTCGTGTGTGGGGGAAACTTGGCCCAAGTCATTCCAAATAAAATTTAATGATGGCAAAAGTCATTCATTTCGTATGCTCGCTCATAAATACTCGTTAAATGTATTTACCAAGGGCTCTACAGCAATGCAAACGCCGGATTGCTCTCGGTTTCTGTGAGTTCTCGTTCGGAATGGGATAAAAGGGATGTGTCTCTCCGTCTGTGTTTCTGTTTCGGGGGAAGTCCTGGCATAGAAACCTCCCGATGCGGAGGACTCATGTTGATTTCTCGCCTCTGTCGGCGTGTGTTGTCGAGTTTTGGCATATTTATATAGCACTTTGTGTACTCGGTATTCAGAATTCTGTGTCTCGTATTGTTGTAATTCTCGCATGGATTGTTTGCGCAGCTCCAAATGCGAATCGCTGAAAGCCCCATAACCTTTACGTCGGAAATGATTTGAACTTGACATGCAAATATTGAAATGAAAGCGGAATTTTTAGTCTTACGAATTGTGAAAATGTTGAACTAAGCTGAACGCAGCTTGTAAAGTTTAATATATATATATATCTATTTTCAACGTGGTTTTACTCTCTAATGATAGCTTTAAGTACTAAATCCCAGATCCCTTAGGTGTATTTTATATTTATTCCCCCATTATTTTTGTAACAATTTAAACACTCATCAAATTAGCAACTTTACAAAACTAAACAAAAGCGAGAACTGATATAAAGCAACTCATTTAAGCGTATTTATTTTAACTCGACTTTTTCCCTTTCCGACTTTTCCATCATTTAATTGCTAAACTAACTTATTTGGCCTTTGAAAATGCACACTTTTACATTTTTGGCAGGCAAAACAATGAAAAGGAAAATATTTTCATAATGCATATGTATATTAAACTGCTGTTTTCCCTTTTCCATGCATTTCAGGTGGCTGAACAACATCTGAAACGACTGAAATTTTCCAAGTAAAAACAAAGAGGGGTCTTAGACAAAAGCCAAACATCTGGAAAGGCACGTAGAAGGAGTTGCATATATTATATATATATACATATTTATGTGTGTGTATATATATTCATATTGGAAAAATAAACAAGCTGGGATACACGAAGCTGCTGGAAAAATAAACGAAACTAAACTTAATTTTCTGCAGGCCACAGATTGAATTTTCATGCAACGAAATGAGTTTATTAGAGTTTCCTTGTCTAGACATGGCCAAAGGTGAGTCTCAAAACAGGGATACCTAGTTCTTAAAGATCTTAAAAAGTTCTATTTAAATAGCGTTCACATTTAATTCTTAAGGAATTAACATTTGTATAATGTATTTAATTTTTAAATTATTAGATTACATAACATTAATTTTTATTTAGTTTTTGAATGCCTAGATTTTATTTAATTTGACTACTGCAATAGTTGAATCTTGTTGAATTGGTATTATAATAATAAAAAAAAAAAACAAAAGACGTATTTATCTATTTAAGTAATATGTATATACTGCTTTTATATTATAATATCTAATTTGGAATACAACTACTATCAAAATGAGATATTATGTTACAAAAACAGTTAATGTATGATTGACTCGAAATTGAAATAGGCTAAGGTTAGTATTGTATTGTATTATTGGTTTATTAAAAAAAAAAATGAATAAAAAAATTATAAATTAAATCTGTAGTTTTTTTATTTAAATGCATTTGTCAAATAATCACAAATACTTTTATTTACTTATATTTATGACCGTAATCATTTACCATTAAAGTTTATACAGAATTTGCCAACTTTATACTTTGTAAAATACATATATATATTTTTATATACAATTTTATATTTAAAATTTAAGGTACTCTATTTTTTATATTAAAATTGTTATACAATATTTTTCGGTATCTCTAAGTCGTAAGAGTATGATTGTAACCAACATGATAGCGTTATTATTATTATTATTATTATTGTTGCTAGCCACAGCAGCTGCAAGTCCTGGCAACTGTTGGCAAACAAACTGCACACACTGCCTGACTATATAATATATATGTGTATATGCATATATTCATAAATATATCAAATGTGATGTTGCAACAACCTGCAGCCTCTAATCCGCCACCCAAGTGGTCGGGCTCAGCAGTCAAGTGCTGCCTAAATGCGACTGCGAGTCCCGAACTGAATCCGAAACTGAAACCAAACCAAGAGCTCATGCTGGCGGATCCAAATTAACCGCATTTATGAGTTGCACTCGAGGTCCTCGAAACACACACACATAGAGAGGACTGCCGGCAGCTGTGGCGGCATTAAAGTTTTAAACAAACTATGTACATAGCGACATTGTTGGTAATTAACCTGCCGCATGGCACCCTCTCTATTTTCAGCGCTGCTTTTGGGAGCGTCGCTCCTGGTACTGCTGGCGGGCCTGCCGACCCCCATCCTGGCCACAAGCGGCTTACGGGTGCCCACATTCCTGCTGGAGCCAGCACCGCGCCTGCTCTTCGGCAATGATACCGGCGCCCAGGTGACCTGCACCGCCCACGGCAGTCCGCCGCCCCTCGTGTCCTGGGTGCTGCGCGACGGATCGCTGGCCACCCAGGTGCCGGGCCTCAGGTAAGTCCCAGCACTTTTGCAATCCTGCGGTGCGCCTCCATTCCCACAGCAATGGGCTTGGGTTATAATAAGCGGATGTCGTTAATGCACTGAGGAAAATGATATACTATATATATAACAACACTTATTATGTTTAAGGGATTAGAAACCGTGAGACATGAGCTACACAAATTGATTTAACTATATTTCTGTGAACAATTTATACTTCCTCAACAGTTTCATAAGTGCTTCTTAGTAAGAAAGTTCAACAAAACTATGTAACATTTTGTTATTTGGTTTTATAGTCTTCCTACTTTCCCTTTGAATATTTTCTCGAGTGTACATAAAGTGTTGAGAGTTGTGGCTATAAGTACGTGTCGTTTGGCTTCCTGTCGGCGGTTTTGGAAGTCACATTGCTGTGGCTTCAGTTTTTGCCAGCGGCATTAAAGTTATTCCCTGACGCACAGCTTCTTCCCAATTGATGTGGTGCAAAAAGACACTGGCGAGGAAAGCTGTGAAAATCAATGTTAACAGATGAACGCCACCCCATTCCCATTTTCCCATTTAGCCGTTTTCCGCCCTTTCCTTCTTTGTGGCCACAAATTTCAATGGAAATGCTTTGCTGGCAGCAACAACAACACTGCGGGGGAGGCAGACAAAAGATGCGCTTTTTGTTTGTTGCCTCAAAAGGCCAAAGAAATTACACAAAAGTAATGCAACCAAGTTGCAAAGACAGCAGTTCTCATACATAGACAGCAGGCGTTGCAGAAATAGCACAAGAAGGTAGTAAATTCTGATATTAACAGGAAAATAAGAAGCATTTTTAACTATTAAAGAAATGGTACTAGGAATGCTATATATAAACTATTTATATTTATTTATAGATTAATCTCTTGATGAATACAACTTTCGTGGTCCTATTATTTCATCTCCAACTGTTGACATTCTCCTGGTAGCATTTTCTATCTATTTTGTCTGTTTGTGAGTTGTGTGCGAGAGCATTTAACATATTAAAAAACGCATCCTTTGCCGGATGACAAGTTGAATGCAGGATGCTCACACACGTCTGGCATTAATCAAGGCGAGTGTACATTAGTTGCTCCGGCAAATAGGACTTTAATTTGCGGTTATTTTTGCCTGGGATCCATTAGTAACTACTCAACACAATTAACGCACTTTACATGCGTACTTTTTATTGACTACCGCTTTGTTTGGCTTAGAGCTTTTTGTAGCAAACTTTTGCTGATCCATTCTACCGTCCCGTCCCTTAAACGGATTATTATATAATGCAAAAAAAATAATAAACAAATATACACATTTACATATGTGTGGCAAGAGCAGTAACAGTAAGAACAAACAAATAAAGGAGATAAATCGTAAAAATAGCGCACTTCCTATGGCAGCACGACCCGAAAATAAATACGGGCATAAAAATGTATAGACCCACGGCACAACTCTCTCCATATATATGGCAACAAATTTACTAAAAGAATTTTTATGTTTCGCAAAATGAAATGTCATTTCAAATACGTGATCTGGCACACATACACGTCCATAAGCCCGAGGATTCCATGTGCATGTACGTCGACGACTGTCAGTCTGGCAGAGCCAAAAAAATAGAATGTAAAGAAAATCCGGTTGCGACGGCACTGCTACTACATACTACTGCATAGAAATGAAACAAAAATTTATTTTAAGCTACTAAAGAGCATAGTTGAGTTCAAGTGACGACTATATAGGACGTGTACTTATCTGCTGCAAAAACTGACGGACACACGGACAGCGGACAGCGGACAGGGAGCACGGAATCCGGAGTCAGGCAGATCTCTCTCTTTTTTGCCCCCCAGGCAAACGCAATAGACGTAAACAAATTGCTGGCACTTAAACATTTTTGAAAACAGCGCTTGATGAAGTTTTCCCTTTTTCGGTATATGCTGCCCGCCGCTTGTTGTCCCAGGCATCATCAGGATTCAGTGCGCCACATCAGGAGAAGTCAAGCCAAAGTCCCAACCAGCTGCACTGCAACAAAAGATGGGTAGAAATATATGGGTGTTCTCTATAATGTATAAGAAGGTTAAGGAAAGTCTAAGAACTGTCAGATAAAGTATGCTTTATTCTTTAGCATCTTGAAAGTTTAATTTATTTGCTGTCCTAGTTTTGAGTCTATATTTTTTTCGAGTGCTCCCATCGCTGCCGTCATAGCTTGTTAGACCAAACTGCAGCTGCAGTTGAGATGATTAGCGGACACGAGACTGCAACTGCGCTCAGGAACTGCGTCTGCCACTGGAGTGCAGAGAGGATGAGTTGAGAGCAGAGGTTGGATTGTGGACTGAAGCTACTCCGGCGGCATGTATGACTTATGTGATGGAAGGTTGATGGGTTTCGGGCTGCTCCAGAGCCACGGAGCTAATCAAATGCATTAAAGCCCTGCGGGAGGCTTTAAGTTGCGTTTTGTTTGGCAACTCATGTTCGGGGTTGAAGAACAAGCCATAGAACATGACAACATACCAACTTTTGTTATAGAAAATTTAAGCATTTTGACTTCAGAGATTAAGTTATTGATTTTATATACAATTTGTTCATCTGCTTTGGTATATATTATGTTAAGGTAAGAGTTTCTCAACATTGAAACTGCATAAGAGCTTAGGTAGTTGTGCATCATTTGGGTTCAACATGCATACAAGCGGCATTAAGCTTATTGCATTTTTATGTAAATTCACACTTTGCGCCCCATGTACTTGCTTGGTGCTATAAAAATACTCGCCAGCAAATGGCAGCCACTTTGCTGTCGCTTTTGTGGAGCAAATTTTTGTGTGCTCCACGTTCAGCCATCCCCCAAATGCAAATAAATAAATAAATATGTAGGGAGCGAGGGGTAGGAAAACCTAAGAAAAGAATGTGCCCACTAAAATATTGCATTTTGCCGTTCGCTTTTGTGCTTTTCAGGAAAATATCTGGCAACGGCACCCTGCACTTCCCGCCATTTTTGGCGCAATATTATCGCACGGATGTGCACGAGGCCACCTACAGATGCCGGGCGAGCAACGAGGCGGGCACCATACTCAGCAGGAACGTTCAGGTGCAGGCAGGTGAGTGTAATGTACTATGGACTAGTACAACTATGAGTAAGGGTATGAGTATGAGTGTGAGTGCGAGTGCTCCTGCTCCGAGTGTGAGCAGCCAAAGTAGCTGAGCGTGGAATGCGCTGCCCCCCATTAACGGTATTCGAGGCGAAGAAAGAAAGTGTTGCCAACTTGCAATGGTAAATAAAATTGGTCCAAGACAAGAAGCACTCACATTTTAAGAAAGCAACAAAGAATTTTCAAAGTAGTATAAATGGTAATAATTTAATAATCTAAAATTACCTTAGAAATTTCTTAGTAGAAAGGAGTCACAGAGGTCCTTTGTTTAATATAAAATTAAGTCTTGGTCATATCTTAGTAATTGTTTTATATTCTTTTTTATATCTTCAGATTTGAAATAAAATATGAATTTAACAAAAGACATAACTTCATTAGTAGCCCCAAAAGAATATAAAAGCGCTTAATTGTTACTAATGAGTTATAAGACTAATCCTTCAATACTTTATTATTATTTGTCTAAAAATACTTTGGTTTCTGTATAGACTTAAAGTGACTCATAAACACTGTGCTTTATTTTGGCATTATATACCTCTCAATTTACTATTATTTGCATAAAAGTACTTTAGTGTGTATTTAAAAACATGATGCATTCCTATCTCGATTTTCTATTATTTGCCTAAAAAAAACATCGTTTTTGTGTACTTTTAAAGTGATTTAAAAACATGATGCTTTGCTGATATTATACTCTCCCAGATTTATTTATAAATACTCCCAGTTGCCAACACTTTTAGCGAGAAGAGAGAGATAGTGCCGCATTATGTTGACAACATTTTGAAGCTGCTCACGTTCGCTGTGCTGGCATTCTTTACGATTCCGCTTGCTGGCAGCCCCTGGGATGTCACCTGTGCGCCAGTTTTTCTTACTTTTCGTCCTTCTATTCCACTTCATATAACATTAATATCCTGTGAGCTTCCTGCCAGCCCTCGGGCTTGCGCTTGGACGCTGTGATCGATGCAACAACAAAACTTGGCGCGGCTCTGCAACTTGCTCGGGGCTCTGAAATTAAGTTAATTATTTTATGCACTCTCCCTGTTTGCTCGGGCCCCTTAATGCTTGACCTCGAAAACGGGGCACGTCGGCTGTATTTGCAGAGCCCGGGCCTTAAATAAACACAGAGTACCCGCCAGCAGCCTCTCTTCCTTTCGCAACGAGGAAAAACCAACGTTGCATGATAGTCGCTTAAAATCTCATTCAATATTTACACTTTGCATTTTCCATGTGCATCAGTCGTGTCACTCTTTTTTTATGCCTTCCCAGCTCTCATGCTCCTGTACTGTGGTGCTTCTTCCTTTGAGTATTTTGGCTGCTCTTCAACTTCCGTTTTGCATGTAATTTCAAGCAATTTCATTCATTTAAATGCCAGCCATTCCGTATTGTGTCCCGTTTATTGGGCCGCTCGGTGTTGTTCCCTGTCGACAGTGTCGCCATCGGATGCCAGCTCCAAAGGGGCTGCGATTCTTTTGCCCAAAAGCGTTTTATGCGCTCATCTGTATGCGCAGTTTGCACCAACGGGCAGACAGCACCGTTGTTGACTTTTCCTATATTCCTCCCTGAATCAGAGGACCCCCTGTAGGCACAGCAGCGGTCAATAGAATAGGTAACAGGAAACCTGAGAGTATATACTTAATTAGGAGCAGTTAGAACATACTTCAGATAAGAACTGAAGCTAAGCTTACCTATATATTAATCATAAATATATTAATAAGTATAAATTAACACTACTTTGAACATGTTTCCAGATAAGAACTGAAGCTAAGCTAACCTATAATTGAATCAGAAAAACATTATAAATAGTGTAAAGAACCTTGTAGATTAAGCCTCCAGTATATAGAATATTTTTTTTAGTAAATAATATAAGTTCCCTCATCATCCGTGTTTGTTACTACTCTTGTTTCATGTTTTTCTTTCTCGCTTTTCTTGCTGGCCATTCGCTCTTTTAGTGGTGCGTCGTCAATTCCATGTGCACGTGGAAAACACCGAAGTCTATTTGGGAAATTCGGCGTTGATTAAGTGCGCCATCCCGGAGTATGTGAGGCCCTATGTGCGCGTGGCCAGTTGGCATCGCGGCGAGGAGATACTGCTGCCGGATCTGTCGGATGTCGGTGAGTGTTGCCACATTTTAACAGATCCACATACGGGGACGCGAACAAATGGTGGGCCGGTGGAGAGAGTTTATCGGTTGCTGAAATTTATGTGCACACGATTCATTTTTGTTGCTTGAACAGCAATGAAGTTGCAGTTTTTCTGCAGTTCAAGCTCCAAGAGGCGAACGTGAGGGTGCGGCAACGGGGCGGATGACATTTATTGGAAAACGTTGCGTATACGCAGCGGGGTCCGGGCGTTCTGGTGCGCTTTGATTTTCCTCTTGCTCTGCAATTGTCATTTGTGTGACCTGAGTTTATGATTTTCCCAACAGCGGGTCGCTATGTCGTCCTAGCCGCCTCCGGGGATCTTTATGTGCGCTCTGTGCGCACCGAGGATGGACTGATGAAGTTCAGCTGCCTGGTTACCAATACGCTCAACGGGGAGCGGCAGCGCAGCGACGCGGTAATGCTGCAGGTTAAAGGTAAGCTCGAGAGGAATTTCATAGATTAAGGTGTTTTTCAACTTATCACTTGGTTTACATTATTTTATAGACTTTTCCCTTTACTATATAATTGAAAAGTTATCAAATTGGCTTTACATTTTCCCTCTTATTCACAGAACTGAGCAAGAATCTGGCTCCTCGAACCACCCAAAAACCGGTGATGGAGATTCACGTGGAGCGTGGCAACGATGTTCATCTGCCCTGCAACATTCAGGGCAATCCCTTTCCCATATTTACGTGAGTTAACCAAGTTCCGGGCACGAGTAGACGTAGCTAGGCTGTATCTATATCTAAGTATCTACGCAGTTGGCAATAAAATAACATCACGAGCTTCCGGGTCGGAGATTATAGACAGCCCTTAAGTGCATTCGAATGTTTGCCTGGGGAGGCTGACTTTATTGCATATTAGGGACTGCTGTTTTAGTGCTAATTAGGTGACTCACGGAGGAGTCGCTGTGGCCATGTGCTAATAGCAATGGGGTTGCCTGGCCGTGGTGGAAAAACAAACTAAAGGGGTCAGAAAGCCAATCCGACACCCAACTCAACTTAATCATCTTGTTTACCCAGTGAAAATCGGATCGGCTTACAAAAGCCAAACAATAAAAAGCCATTTCAGACCGAGAAAGTTGGGCCAATAACACATATCAAGTAACCCCATGATGTGAGGCCTTCACAGATAATTAGCAAAATAAAGCAGTAAACATGGTGGCTCTCTATAGGGTAGCACAATTTAACAGTCTGTTTCACTTAGCACAGCTTATTAAAATTTCATGCAGTTCTAAACACTTGAAGCGCCTCTCACTTACCCACGTAAATTCGTATATATCTGTATATATACACAGGGACATATTCGCGACAAGGACGCAGACAGCTGGAAAAACAAAAACGGAGGACAAACATGCAGAGAGCAAAAGTTGTCGGTGGGAAAACATAAACGTTTGGGGCCAGACAGGCAAAGTGTCTGAAATATTACACTTGGGGTGGGAATTTTCCCCAAACTGATTACAATAAATGCTTAGGAAAGGCGATAATTTTGTTTTCAGCAAAAGTTTAAGCGTGGCTGGCATAACAAAATAAGCTAACTGGCATTTATTGATTTCGTGTGTGATTCTGCAATTGATTGAGTTTCTAGTTTTTGTTTGCTAAACAGTTAACCCAAGTTTGAATCAATAAGAGAGAAAAGTTTTGCGTATAACTGTGCGTATGAGTAATATTTTGTTAGTTATACACACTGGTTATTGGGATTGAAAGTTAATGATGGGTTATACTTGTATAATAATAATCTATAAAGCTGCGTTTTGAAGTGATTATGATATTTTTGCTAGTATAAATATTCCTGGAGGATAGTAAAAGTTTTTGCATAAAGATACATTGTTCGCTTTATGTACTGACTTTAGTGGATTTTGTAACTGATGCAGCCTCTGTAAATCAATAAAGAGTTTGTGCCTTAAACCGAAAAGCCTACCAGTTGCCAACGAACCTTTCCTTCCATATATTTGTATGTATATATGTATGCTCTCTGATTTATAGCTGGTATCGCGTTTCCGACTCGGCGGCCCTCTATCCCATACCCTCGTCACAGCGAGTGATACTTTCGCGAACACTGCTGCTCATCAAAAATGCTGACGAACGCGATGCGGGCAAGTGGGTAAGTAAGCGTCAAACAGCCAACCGCCGGCAATCCGTATATCTGGATATATGCACTACCCCGGAGCACTGTACAGTAGAGCTTGGATAGGGTGAATTTGGTTAAAAGAGGATCAAGTTGGAGTTAAAGTTGTAGGCTGCAAAAATCTTAGTCATTCCCAAACTTAATGTTCTAATGTCAGACTGAGTTTAATTGATATTTATAATTTAAACTCATACAATAAGGTCCTTAAACTACAAGTTTTCCCATAATTGTACTTGAGATAACTAAAAATTTAATCCTTTCACATGCAAGTTCAACTGTATTGCCTGGAGCCTTGGGGAATTTAAGCATGGACGGAAAAAAGACTAACAACTGGCTCTAACTGCCCGCACTCTCGTTGCAGATTTGCCAGGCATCGAATCAGTTCGGGGAACAGCGCATCGAAATACGCCTCAGTGTCAATTCGTATGTGTCCGTGCATATATTGCCGCAAGTTCAAATTGTCAATTCGGGCGGAACGGCAAATTTCAATTGTACGACAACGGGTTCAGCGATCGATGCCATCGACTGGTTGCACAATGGCAAGCCGCTGCAGGCGAATAATGCACTCACCACCGGCAGGGATAAGTAAGTATAGCCAAGAGTCGAAAAACGTAGCTAGAATGGGATTGCACAGGAAGAAACCCACAGCAAAGTTAGTCATATACATATATTATATAAAAAGCCGAGAGAACTTGATTAACTCCAAAGGCATGCAAGAATTTCCATATAACAACAGTCTGAAAATATTTAAAATGTTTTTAAAACACCATAATTAACATCCCCATCCATCATCATTGAAGACTTATTTTTTCACTGTGGAACTGGGATTGCGAATGGGAATTCGGACGGGGGATTGGGTTGAAATAGGAACAACAGGCTGGCAGGCCGACAGACAGACATGCAACATTGTATAGCCGATTTCGATTTTTATCAGTTTCGCCAGTTGCGAAAAGCCTTCCGACCTACCGAAAATATTAAAAAAAAGGAAAGAACAACACAGAGTTCGGGGGTAAAAAACCATAGATTACGCTACGCTGTTGTTAGGGTATTTCGTCTGGCGAAAATGTTTTATTGCCATTGTTATTATTATTACTATTGATGAACGTGGCTGGCAACGAGCGAGTGAGGGAACGATTTCTGTATTTCTGTATTTATGCAGGCATTCCATGTATTTTTTGATCTTTTAACGAACGTTCAGCATGCGGTTGAGTTCGTTCAGTTGATTGTTTAAAAGCTTTGCCCGGCTTGGTCCTGATAAAAGAAAAAAGAGTCCCAGATTGAGTGTAAGGTCTGTGCCCAAAAGACCCCGATTGTTTGGCATTGATAATGCATTTGAATGAATATTTTGTGGATAGTTTTGTGTGATTGCTTTTACAATATTCGAGTGCAATTAGTTGATGGCCTCCTTTGAATCGTAGGTGTGCTATATTGTTTTTAATTAAGATACCGCCTGCGAGCATACTCAAAGTAATATATATGAAAATCCCAGAGCTGGACTAGGCCTCGGGGAATCCTTTTGCTTTGTGCATATTTTCGCCTGAATGGCCCAGGACGCATCTTGATAATTTAATGCAAATTACACGAAATCAGCATAATACGGGGCCAAAGCAAAACCGAAGGCAAACTAAGTTCACACGCAAAATTTGTACAGTAGCAGCTGGCAAACAATCCGGCCTGCAAAAACAAACATTCTCTATATATGTTTTGGCCATATATATACGCTGGCACGCACATATGTACATATGTATATACCAATGGCCGTATCTACATATGTAAATATAAACGAGTATATGGCTGGTGTTTGTGCGATGGCCAGCTGTTGGCCAAGGAAATGTGGCCCGAAGGATAAGCATGCGAAATGCGAAATGCGAATGGAGAATGCGGCATGGGAAATGGAGATGGGAGACCGAGCAAATCAGCATTACAAATCAAGCAGAAATTTTTATGCTTATGCTAATAAAATAAATAACAAATCTCGCTTGAGCGAACAAAAGGCTACGAGGAGCATTCAAACAGAGAAATATCATCAACACTTGAAGAAAATAATATTAAGAATATGTTGAGCAGAGCGATTTTTTGTGGACAAGTTAAGTCTTTATTGATGCTTAATATATGTATATTATATGAATTTAATATAGGTTATAAATTATTTATAACTTTATAAAATTTTGTTTTCCTTTCAAAACTTTTATTAAAGGAAAAACACTATTTTTCACTTATAATACAAATAAGGAAAGAACAAAAAATATTTAATGATGTTACCTTACCTCAGAGACTATTTAAAAAATAGTAGGTGAGAAATTGTTATTTTTTCTGAATATAAAGAAATATTAAAGAAATTTTGAAATTTATGGAATTAATATAATGTTAATATCAAAAAGTATCTTAAATGTTATCAAAAACATTAGGAAACTCCTAGTAATAGTATTTGTATCACTAGTAGATGTGTAATATCTATATCAGACTTTAAAAAAAAGGACATTAATATTTTTCGAAAAGTTTCAGATGAAAAACAATAAATTATATAACATTAAACGTTAAAATTAAAAACAAAAGTACCCCTAAAAGTATTTTTCCCAGTACATATGTATGTATTTGAACTGCACGGTGTGAGTTTATGGCAAATTGTGGGACCCACTTTCATTTTTCCGCAACGTTGTCAGTTTTCAGCAGTTGAAGTTTACTTTGCCAAGCTCGGCATTTTTAACACTTTTTCCTCCTGTATTCTTTGTCTGTTTTGCCCTGCGCCCCCCATCACGTGGCTCCACTACCCCGGACCGGCTTCCTGTTAACCCCTGTCGTCCCTGGGTCGTCCTGGCAGCATACGCTTCCTGTCGAAGAGCTCGCTCCTGGTGCAGAACGTCGGACGACGCGACCGCGGTGTCTATCAGTGTCTCGTGGAGAACCAGCGGGCCAGTGCCCAGGCGATGGCTGAACTGAAGCTGGGCGGTGAGTTGACATGTCGATGTGCATAGTTTATGTGGCGGAGTTTTTGGCATCTATCAGGGCCTCGTTAACCACCCTGCCCCAAACCATCTCAACCCCGTTTCCGCAATTTTCTCGTTATTTTGCAGACACTGTGCCGGAATTGATTTACACCTTCATTGAGCAGAACGTGCGTCCCGGGCCATTAATATCGCTTAAGTGCTCCGCCAGCGGATCGCCGCCACCGCAAGTGAGTAGAAGCCATTCTCAAATGTTTTATTGGCCATATTATGCATTATTATAACGCACAAATAAACACTGGGCGAAAATAAGCGTCTATTTGCTAAGAGAATTTAAAAATTAAAATTAAAATTAAAATTAAAAAATATAAAATTAACAATATGATTGAATTATAATAAAACAGAAACTATATTTAAAGAGTAGAATATTAAAGTGTTATACATGTTTATTTGTACGTTAAACAAACTAATGGTTATGAAACATAAGTACTAACATGAGTTAAAACCATAGAATTGGAACATAACACTATTCAGAATTTATTAACTACTCTTAAGCATTAAATTAGTAATAAAATACACAATAGAAAATCTCTGAAGTTATTTATATTGTTTAAATGGGTGAAAAATGATTTAGAACTTAAATTTAATACAACTTTTGAACTCATTAATTTAAGTGTTGTTTAAAATTAATATTTATTATTTCAAGAATAATATATAAATTATAATTTGTTAAGTGCATTGACCCAAAACACACACACACATCCCGGGTCCGATTAAGCCCTGAAATTATGACCTTCTCCATTGCTCCTTATTGATTTTTGCTATGCCCATTCCTGTCCCATTGCAGTTCGCCTGGCTGCTGGACTCACAGCCCATTATGGATGTCTCACTGCACCATCGGTTTGCGATCGGCCAATTTGTCGATATGTCTGGCGATGTGATAAGCCATTTGAATATCTCGCACGTGCGACCCGACGACGGTGGTCTCTACAGGTGCGTGGCCACCAACTCGATGGGCAGCGCTCGTCACTCGGCCCGGCTGAATGTTTACGGTAAGTTGATAAATTGGCTCCGAAAATCAATTACCCACACCATGGACCCTTATTGTGTCACATAAATGGGTTTCTGCGTCCGTTTTTGTTATCGAGAGCCGGCTTTTGTGCTCTGGCCAAACAATGTAAATCACAAAAGAAGCCGATTTTGAGGCCATGAATTTCGTCAGAACCGAGAAGAAGCTACAAGGAATCAGCAATCGGCGGCTGATTGGAAATAATGTCAAGGCAACGAAACAAAAAACATCGCGGCGAAAGGAGTGTGGTAATGTGTGTGGGGGAAATAAGTCCGCTATTCAGCGGAAAATGCTTGGCTGCGCCTCAAAGGAAATCTCCTCAGGCAACCAGGACATCCACAAAAGCAACAACAAGAAAGCCGATGATGACGATGCTTCCATTCCAATCATGTCACACGATATGCAGGCGAAGCCAACACCGTGACAAATAGTTTTAGATAAATCCTCTTATATTTCTTTCTTACAAATGCAGTCTTCTTAAGAATGAAGTTAAAATAAACACAGGGTTTCAGGAATTCCAATAAAAGTCCAATGCAATTTTAATGAAATTATTTAAATCATTTAAAATAAGTAAATATTTTGCATTTCTATTTTTCTCAAGTGAACACACTAAACTCTTGGCTGACAAGTTTGAGAGTGTGAAAGCCTGAAAATCTGTCAGGGAAATCACTGTCACCTTCGGTGTATAAATGCTACAGATATAAAAATGTCACTCAAGTAACCTCGAGAAGGTTTTCAACTTCTCGTTATCTGTCTGGGAGTTTCTCTCCTCCTGCTTGACTGCTGAACTTTTGAGTATTGTAAGCAGTTGCGAAAGCGTAATCTTAATGTGTTAATAATGCATAAGCGAATGGATATGTGACAGATATAAATCATACGCCCCGTGCGCCGAATGATTGATGACGGCGCCGAGGCAGCTCGGGTTTCTCTGTGTGCGTATACTTGATATTTAAGTGGGCGTGCGTATTGATGATAAATGATGTTATTTTGAATGCTGCTGGACTGCAGGCTCCAGAGAACTGAAAATCAAATTAGCCACGGCTACTAGCTGAGGCTGTATATGGAAAATGTGATTGAGTGAATGAAAATCGAGAAGAGGGAGATGTGGTGTAATTTGAGTCCTACTGGAGCGGTCATTTAATAGTCCATCCTCTCGGCTTTTGTGGTTTGCCTCCACCCCTTTAAGGATTTTTGCTGGCATCATAATCGCAAAATGATTTCGATTATGAACAGTTCTGGCCACAAGCTAATACCCCATCCTCCCATCATCCTAATCACATTTATCGGTATCTGTCAAAGCTACACAGCACAAAAGACAATTTGATACTGGAACTGATATTAAATACCATTTATTCGATAATTAAAACTAAAATGAATAACATAATTCCTTGACTATTTCCCTATGCTTCAATGTTATAAAAAACTATAAAAGTTTTGCTCAGATCAGTTTTCTGTATTTAATTAGACAACCACTAGATTCTTATTTGAATCATTTCTTTTTTTGAGTGCAATGTGAGATGGGGCGTATTCAGAGAGCTGTCGAAGCCGCAGGCATTGGCTCGCCTGTTTAATTATGAATATTGCAATTTATGCAACGCATTTACCCATGCAACGAGTTGCATTAGCAGCACTAAAAGTGCACACACACAGTCTTGCGGCTGCATCTGCATTTCATGCATTAACGTCGCATGTGCGCCAAATGAATATAATTGGAATTATTCAGCATTCGTACCGTATTCCGGCCTAATTGCATTTTGTAACTAATTTAATAAATTTCACAATGGCCCAAAAATACGAACAAATATACGTCGATAAACTCTGGTATGACAGAAAGAAACTTTGAATAAATTTATTTTCTTTAATTGAAGTTGTTCATTTTATTTCAAAATTGAGTCAGCATTATAAATTCTAATCCTCATATGGACACAAATGGAAACACAATAGGATTATTATGAGAAGTCTTCATTCGAATTTAATACAAATATCTTTAACACGAATTACTTAAATCTATGTACATGCATCTGATATAAGTAATTGACATTTTGTTATATGTAATCCTTGCAGGACCTCCGTATGTGAGAGCCATTGGACCGATTAAAGCCGTTGCCGGGGAGGATATAATTGTGCACTGCCCCTTTGCCGGTTATCCCATCGAGCAAATTAGATGGGAGAAGGCGCACCAGGAATTGACAACAAGTAAGACAAATTACAGAGGGGCGAGTCCTTCGGTTTTAACACATTACTGTCATCCCAAAAAAAAAAAAAAAAAAAAAAACAGACAGCCACTACGAACTGGCTTCGATTGCCGACGGTGGCATCTGGTCATCAAGAGCGTGGAGCCTGCCCGGGATCAGGGCATCTATACGTGCATTGTGAGGAGTCGCGCCGGAGAGGAGGCGCGTCGGGATATGCAGCTGAATGTGAACAGTAAGTAGAAAGAACTGGACCCGGGGACAGGAGACTGCTCTGTCAGCTCCTAGTCCCCGTCTCTTCTTGGACGACATTAATGTCTGCCCGCCTGGCGGCTAATCGCTCATCAAGGTCCGCCCGTCATCGAGCCCTTCAAGTTTCCCAAGAATCTGCAGGAGGGCGGACGGGCCCAAATCACCTGTGCGGTCTCCTCCGGCGACATGCCCATCTACTTCAGCTGGAAGAAGGACGACAGCATCATTCCCAGCAGTTTGCAGGTAAGACTATCATTCCAAAGTGCATCGAATAAGTTTTTGCAGTATCCTTTTGTTCCTTCTATCCTTGTGGCACCCAGTAATGCGGAGAACAAGGGTGTATTGGACATTAGATATTTAGTTTTAAGTATGCGTTTTAGATATTACTTACTCAGCTGATTTTTAAGATATGTATTTTAAACACAAAAACCTTGAAATTTAATTATTTAATAGATACTAATCGGTATCTGAAAATCGATATACAACTATAGCTACCTATCTTACCTGTGTTTCTTTCCATTTACAAGATTACCGAGAAGAAGGAGGAGTTCTACTCACTGCTGGTCTTTAAGGATATCACGGCCCGGCACAGTGGCAAGTATACCTGCTATGCCAGCAATGCCGCCGCCAAGGTGAACTTCACGGCAGAGCTCCAGGTGCGAGGTGAGTAAGGGGGAGCCGGAAGCAGAGGAGGGCACTCCGGATTCCAGACGGGTTGGAATGCCATGGCACAAGGGGCGGCAGTGAATGGGATGCTGTCTATTGAAGCGTTGCGCTGCTGTTTCAAAATAAATCACACAGGATTTGTGCGCCAGTTGCTCCCAAGTTTGCCCTTTTTTGGGAGCTGCAAAACAAAGATACACATGCACACACCACGCTCGGATCGAAAGTTGTTAATTTTGTTGCCCTTTTCGTTGTTCTCGATTCCATGCCATTCCGTTCGTTACGCATTCGCCCTGTGGCCCGGTCACGTTTCAGTGGCGCCTCGGTGGAGCCACGAGCCCATGGACACGGCCATCATGCTAGGCAATACAATATCGATAAATTGCGAGGCGGAAGGATATCCGATTCCAGCTATTACCTGGTTCAAAGGGCAGGGTAAGTTTGCCAATCCCGATCCCAAGCGGCCAGGGATTTTGATACACAGCCAGAGTTCATCAGAAGTACCCTGCCGATGGGTTAAAGTGGGGGTGTCCATCCGCCCCTTCCCCCACTCTCTGGGCTTATCAATTAACATTTCGTGTACCTTGGGTTCTTCGTATTAAATATACAGGCAAAGGCTCCAAGGACTTTAAGCCCCTTAGCATGCGAAATCACTCGCTGCTCTTGAATCTGGCCACGGATAATGACGAGGGGTATTATATGTGCCAGGCCACCAATGAATCGGACCAGGCCTCAAGAAGACCATTCGCATCAATGTAAATGGTAATGATTATAAGAAGAGGACTCTGGCTACACTGATCTGTAATAAGGCAACCATCCTGTTTAGAACCCGCTCGATTTGAGCAACCTGCCCGGAATATCAGCTCCCGACGGAACGATCCCGTGACCCTGGACTGCCACGCCAAGGGGGATGAACCCATAACGATTGGCTGGACGCACAACATGGGACGAATCGATCTGAATAACTTCCGGTTCAGCATTGCGGAAATGAAGACAGACCGGGGAGTGGACTCACAGCTAACCATTGGTCACTCCGATCGCCATGATTCCGGGGTGTATCGTTGTGTGGCGGAGAATCCTTACGGGCGGGCCGAGCAGATAATATTCCTGGCTGTCCAGGAACGACCGGATACACCGTCCAACCTGGAGGTCTTCGAGGTGGGCTCCCGTACGGTGAAGCTTAGCTGGCGGCGACCCTTTGACGGCAACTCTCCGGTGCTCAGCTATCTGGTGCAGTACCAGGCCCTGAAGTACCTACAGTCCCATGGGCCCTGGGCGCGGCTGGTGGGGATTGGAACGGACAGAATGTCATCAATGTCAGCCTGCCGTCGACGAGCATTAGTCGCAGGTACGTGTTGGGAATACACTCAAAAATAAAATCATTGAACAATTAACACATTATCTGAAACAAAATAGTAACTAAAATATGATAATTAATATAATTGATAACAGGAAAAAAAAAAAATGTGCAACTGATAAATCTTGTTTTTCCATTCTGCGTGCTTATTTTGTTTGTGCAGCTATGACACCGACCTGCGGGAGAGCGCCATTGTGGCTGGTCTGACCCCGGCTACCACCTTCCTGATACGGATGCAGGCCATCAACGAGATCGAGCGGAGCGCCTACACGGAGGCCATTGTACTCAAGACCCAGGAGGAGGCGCCCACAGAGGCCCCGTCAAATGTGCAAGTGCAGACGGGTGGCGAGAGTGAACTAATTGTTACCTGGCAGGTAGGACACTGGAAAGAGCTTTGTTGTTAATTTGAATAAGTTCTATAGAGTAAGATAAAATGAAGATTAAATATTTAAGCATATGATACTTACTGACAGTGAAGGCTTTAGAAATTTAGATTTATACCTATATTTCTAATACCATTTCTCACCGTGCATCCTAACTACAGATTCCGCCGCGGGAGTCCTGGAACGGCGAACTCATTGGGTACACGGTGAATTGCAGCGAGGAGAAGCAGAACATCAACTACATCAGCGTAGTGAATAGCTCCCAGAAGTCCACCATTGTCAGCGGTTGGGCCACCACGAAGGCCACGCTGCGTGGTCTGAGGAAGTACACCCGCTACGCGGTCACCATTCGGGCCATGAATGGCTTCGGTTCCGGTCCCTGGAGTGCGGCCATCTTTGGCTCGACGGCCGAGGGAGGTAAGTGCTACATACCTAATGATTCTACTTCACAGGAAGAGTATACGCAATCGGCTAACTTTGATTTGGCGTCACTCAATCTTCTTGCAGTTCCCGAGGCAGCGCCGCAGAATGTTAACTGCACCGCCCTGTCATCGCAGAGCCTGAAGATTTCGTGGCAAGAGCCGCCGCTCCAGTTCCACGGCGGCATCATACAGGGCTATAAAATTTTATATCGCCCGATTGTGCACCAAAGTGAGTATATAACTGCATGTCAAACAGTAGAGGGTATACTAATAGGAGCATTTTATATTCCTATAAAAAATATACATATTGTTAGCACAGGACGCGGTGCAATATTATTTCTTAAAACACTCTGTGTGCCTTTGATTAACTATATATGTATACTCGCTCCAAGGTATTTTATTTAAATTATAGATAATCTTTAGCCTTTAGGGGTATAAAAAATGGATGGTAACCGATTAGGATACCTACTGAATATACATACAAAATTTTTTAAAAATCGGTCAAGCCGTTTCGGAGGAACACTGTGACACGACTTAGTTTTTTAATAGAATATGGTATCTCTTAGATAGAATCTTATAAAAAAAGCTTATTTAATTTTGCATTTAAAAGTGCTTAAACTATTTTAGAAAATACTTGTATATTTAACCTCGACTATAAACCCCTCATCCTCATACTCTGTCTCCAGCAATTTTGCAGTTGGCACTTTATGACGCTGATTTTGTTGATATTGCCAGTGCCAGAGAGCGCTGTGCAAACAGCTATAGATATGATACGATATCCTGGCAGCAGGAAGTGCCAGGATGAAGTTGCAGGAGGAGGGGAGCGAGTGAGTGAGTGAGTTGCTCGCCTTTATTGGTTTTGGCGTAGGGTTCGGGTTCAATGGGTTGGCGTTGGATTCGATGCAGACTGCCAGTTGTTGACTTTGGCTTTCGTTTATCAAATCTCATCACATGAATAGCACCAGCTGAGTCTAGTCTCTGGGAGTGAGTCTGCTTAAATTAACAAACTTAGATATGCATAAATTATTAAATAAAGCTAGAAACATATTATTAAAAGACAAAGCTGTAGGGAATTTTGACTTATAACTAGCTCGAATTCGTCTTAAAATATTTCAGATACATTTCATTGGTTTTAAGTTAGATTTCCTGTCTTCCCCAGTTGACTTCCCCGCCAAGCTGGAGATCAAGCGCACCTCCAACCTGGAGACATACCTGCACACGCTGCACAAGGCCAGCAACTACTCGATTCGTGTCCTGGCCTACACGGCCACCGGCGATGGCCTGGCCAGTCCGCCGCTCTTCTGCCAGACGGATGACGATGTGCCCGATGCACCGGCGGCCATTAAGGCGGCGGCCCTTACCGCCGATTCGATTTTGATTTCCTGGCTGACGCCGAAGAACCGGAACGGGATGATCTCGCACTACACGGTCTATGCACGGGAGGCGGGACGGAAGGGTCAGACCAAGAGTAAGTAGAGCACAAAGAGGGGCAAATAGGGGAGCCACCGAAATGTATATGCTTTTTTCGGGGAATTCAGCTCACATGGTGCGTGTGGACGAGGATGGGTATCCGGTGACATTCGAGTCACGCAGCCTGGCCGAGAATCAAATGTACGAGTTCTGGGTGTCGGCCTCCACATCCGTCGGCGAGGGCGAGCCCACATCTGTGGTTGCCCAGGCCACCAATACACGAGGTAGGAACAGCAGCCATTTAGAGACAATGTACACAGGAAGAAAAATAAGCAGGCACTCGGAAAAATATATAAGATCTTAAAGAATTTCAGGGAAAAAATTAATACATTTTAACAAATTTATAGTGTATATTTCCCTTATTACTTTTGTTTATTTCGTAATAAGATTCATTTAATGTTAAACGATTTTATTATGACATCTTATATATTTCTCCAAGTGCACCTATATAAATAGCTGGTAAATTGTCGCGTTAATTAAAAATTGACATTTATTCAGCGTGCTGGCGAAAGCCGCACTTACCGCAACATTTTAATTTCGTTCACCTAACGATCTGCCTGGCTTTCCGTTGTCAACTTTCTGTGTTTTTCTGTTCTTTTTCCCCAAAAACTGTTTTCATGCAGCTCCTGCCCGGATTGCATCCTTTGGCCAGGTGGTGCGCAAGGCGGTGGGCACTGCTCTGGTCCTGAATTGCCTTGCGGTGGGTAATCCCACGCCCCGCGCCCGATGGCTGACCCGCGACCGACCCGTCACCTTTAGTCCCTTCTATGAGGTCACCAACGAGGGCAACCTGAAGATACACCGTAAGTAAACTAAAAATGGGAAAATATGAAAGGTATTTGTGTTGTAAAATATTAGAATATACAAAAAACAAGAAAGAACTAACTTCGCACGCGAAGTTATATACCCTGCAGATAGAATTCTAGAAAAAAACCATACAAAAAATATATCTTGTGTTAAAAACAATGAATAATACTGCTTTTTTTTCATTCACCTATACATATTATATTTGCAGTTTTACATTCACTGATTTGCATTTTTCCTCCACATCAAACGATCGTTTGTATGGCACCTATATGATATAGTCGTCCGATTTTCATGAAATTTACCACAAAATTTAAGACTTAAATTAAATGCCTATACCTAAAATTTGATGAAAATCAGTTGAAAACTGAAAAGGTTATAAATTTAATTGTATTAATTTCTCGATCGTTCCTATGGGAGCTATGTGATATAGTAGTCCGATTTTCATAAAATTTTATGCAAAATTGTAGAGTATAGTAAAATGACTATATCTCAAATTTGATCCAATTCTATTGAAAACTGAAAAAGTTAAAAAATTTTTGTATACATTTTCCGATCATTCCTATGGCAGCTATATGATATAGTCGTCCGATCCGGCCCGTTCCGACATATATACGAGTGAGAGTATATAGAAGGCTAATTACAAAGTTTCATTTAGATAGCTTCAAAACTGAGAGACTAGTTGCGTAGAAACGGACAGACGGACAGACGGACAGACGGACAGAAGGACAGACGGACAGACGGACAGACGGACAGACGGACATGGCAGAGACACGGCTGTGATCTGATCAAAATAATATTATATAGTCGATCCTCCTTCACTGCGTTGCAACTTCTGACTGAATTATAATACCTGCAAGTATAAAAGTATAAATGCTTAAATTGAGTTGAACATGGCAATGGACATTCACTTAATTTAATTAGACTGAAATTAATATAAAACATAAATTAAAGAAGGCGGAATACATAAGAATATGTTGAATAATGTAGTCAACTTATGGAAGCTGCGAACACAAATGTAGATGTTGCAGAGATTCAAGAGAAACTTTATTGTCCAATAAATTCCATGTGTATTAATACTATTACTATAAAATTACTTACATTTTGTTTTTTAATTTTAAAAGAAACTTGTGTACGCACCAGATAGGAATATTGTCACCAAATTTGGTTGTATTAGATTTTACTAATTTGGAATATATATAGGCATCAGATAAACCTCAAACTTCACGATCACACTGACCTACAATACCCATATTCTCTATAGTACCAGTCAAAAAAGGTTTAGTTAAGATTTATAGTAAATCCAACATTATAAATTTTTATTTTCCCACCTGCACGCTTTCGTTTGACACTTCAATTTGCAAACAATTTTCGATGTCAACCCTATCCCTTTTTTGCAGGCGTCGAAGGCAGTTTGTCAGGAAATTATACGTGCACGGCGAACAATCTGTTTGGGAGTGACGAGATCCAGTACCAGGTGATTGCCATGAAGCCGCCGGGCGCACCGCAAATCATCGTGCAGTACGCTTCCGCCGACAGCATACGCGTCAGCTGGGATGCCCCGGACGACGGGGGAGCTCCGCTCCAGGGATATGCCATCTCCTACCACACGGCCGGTGAGAGCTGGTCCACCACGGAGCTGCTGCCGGAGAATAATGCCTACACGATCTCGGGCCTGAAGTGCGGAAACAGTACATTATAAAAATGTCCGCTCACAATATGGTCGGCACCGGAGTGGCCAGTGAGGAAATTAATGTCTGGACGAAAGGCAAAGGTGAGTCCCAAAAAACCGGAGAGCCAATCTCGATTCCCAGCAGTCCTGTGTCCTGAATTCAAATTTCGTCTGTTTGACCGCAAAAGCCATTCGTTGAAGTGACAGAAGTGACCAGAAGAGTGGTAAGGCTTACAGTTGCAGGCAGAATAATAATAACACGTAAACCTAATGCGGAAATGAAAATAAAGGAACAAGAATTTAAATTTAAAATATAAAGCAAATTCGTCTGTTGAATTGGCTAGTTTCTACTAATTTCTACTATCAAATTATGCTATATTTCAATACAAAAATGTTAACTGAGTCCCATTATAACTATTACTGCGACCCTTGCTGTTATATATATATATATTTTCCCCGATTTATCCCCCTTGTTTCGCTCATATTTCGAATTTCCCATTTTGCAGCCTCTCAGGCGCCGAACGGCAACGAACTAATTGCCACAAATGCGACGTGCGTGAATTTGAAGCTGTCATCGTGGCACAATGGTGGCTGTGGCATTCATCATTTTTCCATCGAACACCGACCGCTGGGTGAGTGCAAATTAGCAATCAATGCATGGATGGGCATTTTGGGTTTGGGTTTCCATTTACACTACTCCGTTGCAGTGAAGGGCTTCCTCTTTGAATTATTATCCAGAAGCTGCTTAAATCTAATTTAGAAGGCTTATAATACAACATTATTTCATAATTTATTTATAAATTTAACTCATGAATTTTATATAAGCTGATAAGGGTTATCCAACCGTTAAGTTTACCCTGCATAAAGTTTGTTTCTAGATCTCTATAAACAATGTAACACATTCTCTTAGATTAAAATATTTTTTATGCACACTCTGTGGAGTGTAAGTTCATTAAAAATCAGCAGACTTTAATTAAAAATGTTATGGGCTTAATTAAGAGTATTCAAGCGTCAACTTTAGTTTTTTTTTTTTTGCTTGCTTCATGCTTCAGCCCAGTTGCTGTCGCTTAATTTCCGTTAAATTAAATACAGTTAATATAATTATTTTTGTTTTCAATTAACTGACCAATCTACGGGCATTTGTATTTATAAATATTTATCAAATTTATTACGTAGTCCATGCCGTGTGCAACGTGGCGTATGATGCATAATTTCCTTTTTCCATACTCACTTTTTATCCCGAACCGTGTCTCTGTGTGCGTCCCCAGGCGACATACGGTGGACAGTTGTCACATCGGACATTTCCAACGCCGAGGAAAATCGGGAAAATTTAATCTTCTGCGACTTTCTGCCGGCCAAGTGGTATCAGCTGCGAATCTCCGCCACCAACGATGCGGCCAAAACGACGGAGCATTATCATTTCAGCACGACGAGCATCGATGGCATCACCATTCCGCCGCCCTCGGTTTTCCCTCCGAAAACGATTTGATGAACAATCTGATAAACGCAACAAATCCGACCAGCGGTGATTGGTTCTCAACGTTAATTGTAGTCGTCATCATCACCGTTTCCATCATAACGATGTAAGTGTAGGCGTTCGAAATGGGGTGGCTATATCCAGAACGAAAAGCGAAAAAATGTGGAATTGAAATGGCGAATTAAGGGCCAACGGGGGGCGGTAGGTCGTTTGCCTTGATGACTGGAGAATGTTAATTAAGGATTTATTAACTGTCTTGCTGGCGAGTGCAGGGATAACGAATGGGATTCCAGTTGTGAAATCACAATACCGCCTTATCCTGCATAGTAGAAATTCCACAAACAAATATTTAATAATTTCATAATTATTAGGAATGTTGGAATTTCATCTACAAAAGTTTGCTATTTGATGTTTAAAACTATAATTTCCTAACTAAATATGTTCCATGTCGAGTTGTTTTTTATTATCAATAACTGAGTGAAGGAAACTTCAGTCTGGGAAAATAAATTTAATGAGTACTCCACTAGTTAGTTACTCCAGTTTGTTTCCCCTGCCATTTCCTGAGTGATTAAAACTCGGCAAAGGGAAAACTTTTGCTCATCTTTCAATTAAGGTCATAATAGAGATTCATCTGTTCGTCGCTTCGCAGAGCCCTGACCATTAAACATCGACGCACACTGTGCGGCCCCATCGCCGAGGGATACGAGTCCCGGACCTTGCCTGGGGACTTTAAGGAGGACCATGAAAATCGTCGCAATCAGCAGGTGTACAGTGCCTCGCCAGTGAAAACAGTGGACAAGGGAAACGAGTCGGGTAAGTTCAGGAATCGAACGAGACATAGGCGTGCCTCGGCTTAAGGGTGGCAATTATAGCAAACACTAGGAAAAATAAACTCACTGAACACAGTACACCATATTAAAAACATATTTACAAGAATGATAAATTCACTAAATTCGAAAGTAATTTGTCTGAGTGCACTTTACCTCTGTGTCTCATCTAGAAATGTACGAGATTTCGCCGTATGCCACGTTCAGCGTTAATGGCGGACGAACAGGAGCCCCGGCCAAGACTCCCACACGTGCCGTGGCTGCCCAGACGCCACTCGATTACACCATGCAGTTTAAGACCTTCGGTCATCCGGAGGGTGAGAACCTGAATGCCACTGCCTATCCCCTCCTGCCCAGCTCGGGATTCGGACATGTGAAGAGCAAGTCAAGCTGGCACAAGCAGCGCTACTACAACACTGATGGTGAGTGATGGGAATTGGACCTGAACTGGAAGCATTCTTAACTTAACTTAATTACTTTACAATCAAATTAAATTTCTTTCAATCAACAATTTATTAATAGTATCTTTATTGCTAATTCATCCTTCTAATAGATGAGTCTACGCTGAGCAAGTCGATGACCATTGTTGCCGGCTCCCAGGCGGGTCACTCCAAGAAATCGAGTGGCGGACGGAGCGCCAAGAACAGCGGCGCCTGCAGCGGAGTGGTGGCCGAATCCGAGTCGGACACCAGCATCAGTCCCAGCACCGAGTTCTCCAATATGCCCACCTATAGGGTGCCCTGCAAGTCATCGCGTAGCAGCGATGGTCGTGCGGTCGTAGGTGCGTATACGTAATATTTTGTACTGGCGCAGTTAGCAGTGCGTATACGTAATATTTGTAAATAATTCATGGCTTCGATATTACTTATCTTTACTCTTTTCTTTTCTTATCCCACTTAGACATGTTCCGACCCGATTCCAGCACGGAGTCCAACAATGATCAGGGCTCCCCGGGTCCTGAGCGTCGCCACAACACTCCCCGGCATGTCTTGGCATGGGCGTGCCCATGGGCATGGGCGTTGTAGCCGGCGGAGGTGGTGGTCCCGTGGAGAAGCGAAGCGCCGGACAACGCAGCCGAAAGCATGGAAGCGCGGCACAACAGCCCAGTAACCAAACGTTGGAGCGACGAAAGTGCCCTGCTAGTAGCAACAGGTAGTTCAGGTACCTAAACCCTAACCAATCCAAATTAAATTAGCATCGAATAGAGAATATAATGAAAACAATCAAGGCAGAGACTGCAATGCAAATGTATGACACTCTCTTGAGAGTTACCAAAATGATAACCATTTAATCAAAGATTTTGATCTCATAGGACTCTTAAGGGTCATGTCATATCTTTGCAGACCAGGAAAGCTGGCTTAAAACCAACTATGTCCTAGATTGACTTACCTTTATATCTCTTTCGTGCCGAATCTTTAGTTTAGACAGTGAGGTCGATGCCGAGACCGCGGCTTCCCTGGCCGCCTCGATAGCCGCCATGGCGGGGGCGGGCCTAGACCTGTCCGGTGGATTCCGGCCGCCGACGGGATTCCACGACGGGATCGGCCGCGAGCCCGGCGACCAAAGCGAGTGCGAGCGGGAGCAGAGGGCGCTGGATCTGGAGGTGCAGCGCGTCATGGAAGCACCGGAGAAGCGCAACTGGCCAAAATGGACCGCGAGGAGTTGACCTCACTGTTGGCAAGGTAAGGTGTCCTTCGAACGACCATTCACGCCGCCCAAAGCGCTTGACCGTAGCTGTTGTTGCATGCCTGTAGCGTCTACCTACCCCGAACATGAACTCGCACTTGATCTTGATCTTGAACCCGATCGAAAGCACATACTAACCAGTACCGGAAACCTCTAGGTATCACGAGAAGAAGGAGCAGGAGCGGCAAGAGTACACGATACACGTATAATACCGCCCCTGGGCAATACTCGGCAATGACACTCGTAAAATCCACACACACACAAGATGACATACAAACTGTGGCATTTAAATGCATTTAGCTAAGACCTTAAGTGTTGTTCGATAAGTGTACACTTTTAAGATACTTATGCGCCGGCTATTTGCAGAATTAAATCATTTGGACAAGGATCTGTAGGGAAAAGATGAAATGGATGTTATTTAAATGCTATTTCTTTTACTTAAATGTTAATAAATTATTAAAGCGACACATAAAGAAATAATTAATTGGTTTCACTTGAAGTAAATAATTGCCATAATATTTCAAAACTAAATTGTTTATTTAGCAGTTAAAATATAATCGAGTGAGTGTTTGAAATCATGTATCTTTATAATTCTCGAGAGTTTTTAAAAGAAAATATACTTCATTTGTAGATTGACTTATTTTCCCAATCAAAATATTTATTTTTGCAAAGAGACAAGCGCATAAGTCTGGTATATTGTAAAAGTTAGTTTGTAAGCAGGCACCCGAGCAAATTAAAGACTATATCTAGCTATAGAGATCCAACTGACTAACTAACTACTGATGTCCGGCAGGATGTTTCTATTGGTTTTGAAACTGATATTCGTTGCGGGACGAATTGTACTGTATCTGCTAGCTAGTAATACTATCAATCTATATACACAAGCAGACATTTTTGCATATATATAACACATATGAATGTATATGTGTAATCCAATTTGTTGTGATAAATTAAATTGTTTTGGAGTACACGTTGATGCGGGAAACATGTCGGGTTAATGAACTGCATAACTCGATTGACACTTTTGGAGCACTCACAAATGCTGTTTATTTCATCGATGTCATTCAGTTATTCACTTTTTATTCAAGCCCATTTACGAGATTGACAAAAATCTGTTACTGCATTTATTGGAATAAAGTAATTATTGAATTTAATTAAAAGTAGATAATCAACAATTAAATTGTATGGCTACCTTAGGTAAAATATATACACATAAAATACACCTAAATTAATATATGTGCGGAAATGGAATGCGGCAGTTACCGAAAGCCAAATACGGCAAATTAATTAAATAAAAGAGTGTAAAAATAAACAAAATCAAATCGTGGTAATTTCATTAAAACCAAATTTCCCCAACTGTTGGGGGGGTGTTTGGGGGGAAAATGTTCCACTTATCTGGTCAGTATCCCTCCCTTACCCCGGGTTCCATCTCCTTTTTGCATTGGCCCCATGTTGATTTCCATTTCCCCTCAGTTCACCGTTGTGCAAATATTTATGCAAGCAAATGAGAGCAAACCAAATCAATCAAATACAGTGCAGTCTAACCACAAGCCAGCGGTCGCCATTCCGCCAAACTCACCGAGCTCCAACCAAGCCCAGAGGAGAGTGAACCATGAGATGGAGATGGAAATGGAAATGGAAATGGAGATCTATATGTATGTGTAAGCCCCCAGACGGAACGCACGTCAGTTAGGCAATCAGTCGGAGTCAGAGTCGGAGTCGGAGTTGGCGATGGCCGCCACAATGTGGCTGCAATTTCACTAGGTAAACTCAACCACAAGATGCCTTTGACACACACGCACACCGCACACCCAGGCCAAGGCACTGAAAAGAACCAAGAGTCTTTGTTTAATCATCGTAAATAAGTGGAAATGAAATTAATGGAATTTATTTCAATAGATTCTTATAGAAATCTTGTTTTATTTACACGCTGTAACTAAGAGTACCTTAAAAAAAAGGAAGCTTAACAGAGAACAATCAGAAAATTAGAAATCTTGTGTTGAAATATTGAAGTATATATTTGAATCTATTAAATTTCCTATATCTTAAACTCTTTCAGTTTAAGTAAATTGATTTCCCTATAGAACCCTTCTAAAAGTCAAAGACCCCCATTAGAAGAGGCACCTGTTAATTAATTCTCATATTTAAATTTGCCATTTTTCTGTGTGCATAAAAGCTCACTCAGAGAGACATTAAACATGCATGGCATGATGCTGCACTGTTTACCATCTGTTTGTTGCCGACTTGAAACTTTGTCAATTTTCACAAATGTTGCCAACTTTTTCGAAGTCATGTCAGTAAGGTAGAGGTTTGTTTGTCTGCCTGACATTGTGACACAGAGAGCCAGTCAAATCTAATGGGATTATCGAGGAAGTTTTCGGTGAAAATATAAAGGTAAGACAGGGATTCGAAGATTGCAGCTCACGTGGCAGATGCCACTTAAAAATGAAATAGAAGCTGCAAGGTTGTTTCGTATTCAAATTAAATTAAGCAGAGATTTTTTGGTAGGTAATTTTAATTTATAAAATTCTCTTTTACTCTTTTAAAATGGTATAAAAGCTTTTTTAGGATTGAATACTTAAAAGTGCAACGCTTAAAACAAATACCAAGCAACTGAAAAAGTAACTTATTTCCTATTACCTAATTTAATAAATTGATGAATTGTATGTACTATTGACTAGACTTTCTATTTATGTGTAGATGCCTTCTGTCTTCTATTGCATATATTGTTACTTTTCAGAATAAAAGTTTTGCTTCATATTGATTTTTAATCGAATTCGAAGTGACAGCCAAATAGGTAAGTTCACTATTAAGGTTTAAATATATAGTTCGTAAAAATACAAAATAAACTAAAGAAGATAGGTAGAAACTATGGGAAATGTATAAAAGTCAATTGAATAAGAAAACAAGAGTCAGGGCGCTGATTCTTATTGACTCCCAATATACAAACACTTGTCTCCCCGCCAGGATAGTTGAGTCTAAGCGCCAAAACTTTTACTAATTAACATGGATCCATTCGGAAAAGTTTCCAATGCACGTATCGAACTGTTTATGGAGTACACACATTTCAGGGGGCGTTGTTTTTGGGAGGGCGTTGTTCCCTTATTTTGCAAGGACTGGCTTAATCGAAACGGTAATTGGCTCCATGTTTGCTTGCTGCTGCTGCTGCTGCTGCTGCTGCTGCTCCTGTTCTGTGCTATTGTGCGAGTCTCTGTTTTGCTGCTCGGCTGCTCCTCTGCTATTAATTATGGCCTAGTCTGGTCCTACCCTACCCGACCCTGCCCGGCCCTATGCTCTGTGGCTCCGATTGCCATCTAATTAAGCATGAAAATACAGACCACAGCCGTAAGGAGTGGGAAGACAGTGCGGTTGGGATCCGGCAGAAAGTTGAAGTGCACTTAAGGCGCATGCAAGTTTTATTGGGACTTTTGCTTCATTTGGCAACTGAATGCGAAATCCCCTTCGAAAATCGATTTTGCAACCGCACGCATGACAGGCACTTTAGGTTTGTCGTATTTAGGCTTAACGCTGACATGATTCTCGATCCGAGGAAACGTGTCTATATGCTCCGACGGCCGCACCGAGAGGACTTGGCCAAAATCGATTTCAATTAGTTAAAGCTGCAAGGCTGGCAAGTCTACAACAAATAATCACAAAATTGCAAAGGGATAAATTTGGCCCGCAAACACAATGGAAGGCAATCAGCTCTGGGTGCGCCGCCAGCAACAGCAATAGCAGCAGCAGCAGCAGCAACACCAACAGCAACAGCAGCAACATCAGCAGCAACAACAAGGACAATAATGCAATTTAAGCAAATTCAAGCCCCAAAATTGCAAGAGGTTAGTAGTACAAGCAGCCCACTTGTTCCCGTGTAGTTGTAATGCACACAGGAAGCACACACAGTGGCTCACAGGACACGCAGGCACCGAGAGAAAGGAGGTGCCAGGAAACTGATAAATTAATCGACTTTTCGAAATATAATTGAATGACTTTGTCATAGATCTGAAATAAAAAAATATATATATAATTATTTATCTAATTAAAACTGTGCAGACAAAACAAATATCAATAACAGCTTAGTATATATTTAAAAAGAAAAAATAAAGTAATATTTGTTGCAATTTTAAGACTTTTAAGCCCAATAAACATCTACTAAAATCTTATATATTACATAGTATAATGATACACTTCCCTTTTCGTCTTGTATTAATATTAACTTTATAATAACAGTTAAAGGTTTAGTATCCAAGAGTAAAGAGCGTATGGAAATTTTGATGTACGAATAGAAACAAAATTATCAATTTTATTGTAATTCTTTCAGTGTAGAGGACGCATGCAGGTCACACAAAAGCTGGAAGCCAGCCGACCGCACTCCTGATGCACTTGCATTTAATAACGACCTCGATGGCCCAGCCAGACCACGCTGAGCTATACACTCGGAGAAAATATGTATAGTATTTGAGCATTGTAAAACAAAGTAAGCAACATGAACATGCTTATGTATGAATGTTCCAAATTTAATATTAAAAGAAACTAAAATGTTCTTTTAATGCATTGCCATAGAAAATGTATTAGCTAATTTTGCAACCAAATTGTTTTTTCATTGTGTCTATGCGAGAGATAGTCCTGTTCGGGCTGGCCTGCTGGACGCTGGACATTATCTACAAATGCCGGGCAAATTCAAATGTCCTTTGATGCATTTGCACATGACGCCCAACTGTGCGCCCCATCCTGTCCCATCCCATCGAGTGCGTAGATTGAAATGCAGCCTGCTGCTGCTGCTGCTGGCCAGTGCCTTTAATTAAAATTCTCAAATTACTAAAGGTAAACGACTCTGGTTGCATGCCGAGTGCATGTCTTGTCATAAATTGCTGCAACTGTTTTAATACGAAATGACAGGACATTCCTGGCCTTTGCCTTGTCGATGACACGCTCTTGATTTATGCTTAAAAGAAAATTCAATTCTGTTGTCGTAGAGTTCGGGCGGCTGGTTAATATCTAACTATAAATATTATTCGAATTACAGACATATTAAATGCCTCTGCAAAAGGAAATAATTTCGAAAAGGCAAATAATTACTTTAGATATTGGAGTATAGTTAATACCGATGGAAATTTGAATTTGAGTAAGCATTGAATATTTTAATATTCACTACGAAGAATGGAAATTTCATTATGGAAATATCGCTTTATATATTGAATATACGTTTCTACACTAAATTCTGAAAAATATTCAGATGTGTAATTTATTTTATTTGCTGTTATAAATGTATCCTTTTCACCCTCTCTTTTATTAATAAAGAATTCATAAAATATTTTACTATAATGATATGATCACCTTCACCAAATACTAGCACAAATGGATGGTTTATGAATTTCGATTTAAAAATGCTTATTAAAGCCACAGAAATGGCAAAGCTAACTCAACATAATGAGCACAGCGTTGGCCGTGGAAACGGGGATGATATAGCCGGCGAAAAGGAATTCAGAATGGGAATCGGAATCAGAAGCCAAAGCCACAGCCAGTGCCACAACCGCTGCCACAGAAATGCCAAACAGCTGCTCCTGCCAAAGGCACTTGATGCTGGGACTCTGCTGATGCTGAATGTGAATGTGGATGCAGCTGGATATGGAGATGGAGCAGCTAGCAAAGAGTTGACTGGCTGTGTGCATCCTTTATAAAGACAGGGCATAAAAAATGCAAAGAAGTGTTACAAATACAAACAGTCGGGGTAGCCAGGCGGCCAGACAGAGAGACAGAGACAGACAGATGTCGGATGGAGGATCGAGGATGGGAGGACGCACAGCCAAGTGCAATTCATGTGGGACTCACTTAAATAAAGTGCTTTTGCATTGCCCGCCTCGCTGGGAGAGCTGGCTGACTCGTTGGCAGGATGCGAATGCGAATGCGAGTCCGAGTGCGATGCGAATGCCGGATGCTTCCGCTCCCTGATTATTTGAATTATCACAGGTTTATCCACCCACAGCGAGCGCAACATGTGCGGTGTCGGATTCATTATAATTCCTGGCACCGTTCAACTATTTAACACAAAAGCCTTTGTCCCACCCGCTTAGTCCTCGTTTAAGGATTCAACTGAATTAAACTGTTTCAAACGCAATAGAAGAATGAGAGACCAGAGGCGGGCAAAACGGGGTTTTAATGACTCGAAACAGCTTTAACTTTAAGGAGATTTTTTTACTTTTTCCGAATGAGGTAAAAATAATAAAAGTACATTTGTTATAGAATTTCTT